TACCAGGCACTAAATTAAAAGGTACAAGGATAATTTATTGATATAAACCAAGTTGTTCATGAAATTCCATCTACTTATAAAATCATCCTCATCCTCAGACCAAATCAAATCAAATAAAAAGGCCTAATGTATAGAACCAGGAGACATCTATATGTACACGTGGCAGTGCTAATAATTAAATAAAACACCATGCATGCTAGAGCTTCGCATGAAACATCAGGACATGTATAAAACTGTTGTTTGATGAACTAACTAGCAGAAAAACTACCGCTATTTGGTGTAGGATTACACATTTGGAGTACTGGTCTCAGCAAAGCTGTTGGTAAAGTGCATGAGATGGTCCAGCATGCAAGTGCATTCATCGATATGCTCAAGCTAATTAACTAGTCTTTTGGTACAATTGCAACGAAGAAGAGCATGCAATCCAATCAAGGCATTGCTTGCTCATGCAATGCGAGTAAAACTAGCTCAATCAGACGCTCCAGCATCAATGATCGAGTACTACAGCCATCCAGGTGAACAGGAAGAAGGTCAGGAGGGAATGGATGGCCAACTCACCGGAGGAATGACTGGCGGCAGCGGTGCGACGGGCACGGGCTCCACGCTCCAGCGCGGCAGCAGGCTGCTCCGCCCGTTCACGCGCTGGCGGACCCCCACTCCGGCGGCGCATCCCAGGGGGCAGAGTAACCCGTGGACGGAGTGGCGAACGAGGACGTCGCTGCCGCCGTCGCCCGCCAAACGGGCGCTCCACACGACGCCGATCGTCTCGCTCTGCACGGCGCGGAGCCCGCGGGCGCCGGGCGGCGCGGGGTCGGTGGAGATGTCGAGGTACCGCCCGTCGGCGGCGCTCTGGAGGAGGACGTAGGCGGCGCCGTGGCGCTCGACATGGCGCACCTCCCAGGACGCCCTCGGCGACGCGCGGAGCGGGCTCAGGGAGACGCCGACCCCGTCCTCGTCGGCGTAGAGGAAGAGGTTGCACGCGCGGCTCCGCAGCAGCACGGGCGCGCCGCCGGGGAAGATCTCCATCACGGGTCGGAGTGTCGTGCGCGGCGGCGTCGAGCGGGCGTCGGCTGCGACTGCGAGGGGCGGAGGGGGAGGGGAAGAGAAGAGCAGAGCAGAGCAGGTGTTTGTTGCGACGGTTACTGTTTTGGGCGCCAGCTCCCAGGCGAGGGATTTGAAGGCGCGGTAGGTCGGTGGCCCTCGTCACCCGTGCCAGGCAACCTACACCAGTGACATGTGGGACCGCTGATGGTGGGGCTGGCCTTCTTCCGACGTGGACATATGCCTCTCGGGTCCCACCTAGTCCAGCTGGCGCCCGGGGGCGTAACCAACCTGCCCCGCCCGCCCTCCTCCTCCTGTTCGGCGATTCGCCGCCCGGCCCCGTCCACGCCTCCGTGCCCAACCCGGCCGCTCACGGCTTCGCCAGTCATCACCACGCCCGATCATGGCTGTGCCTTCCTCCTCCCCCTCATCCGCCTCAACCAGAACCAGCTCGCCCCCGCCGCCCATTCCGCCCGCAGCGATGAACCGCCGCGACGACCCGCGCAGACACCGCCCATTCCGACCGCAAGTTATCGAGGAGAGCAGCCACTGGATTTGTTCCATGCAGATTTATGTGGCCAAATTCCGAAATTCGTCCAAAAACACCAGGCGCTAGCTAATTGTTGATGATCATAGCCGGTTCACGTGGGTGGAGTTGCTGGTGACGAAAGATGAACAGCCTGTTCGCTTGCTCGTAAACGATCGTAAATTTTCAGTCGGAAATAGTATTTTCCTCTCACACCAAACCAGCCAGCAGTAAATAATCCACGATACGACACGGCCTCCCGAACAGACTGGAAGCCTTCAAGTGCTTCAAGCGTGTCAAAGCCATCATGACATCATCACAAGCCTCTCCATTGACCCTTCTCCAATACAAGCTACTCCAGCAATAGAACATGCTACACCACCGACTGAAGAAGCCATTGATTCAGACGGAGTGCCGCTCACGCTCAGGTTCTGCACTGCGCAGAATCTGAACGACACAACTGGTGAAGTTCAGGAATTCGAGTACAGTGGGTTGTGTTTCTATGCATTGGAGGAACAGTGTTGGCGTGAGGCAATGAAGACTAAAATGGAGTCCATTCAGTCCAACAGAACATGGGAGCTTGCGCCCTCATCATGTGAAGCTGAATATATTGCAAGTGCAAATGCAGCATGTCAGGGTATTTGGCTTAGTAGACTACTCAGTGAAATGCTTAGAAGGAAGGTGCCTGAGGTAAAACTGTTGGTGGATAACAAGTCTGCTGTAGTTTTGAGCAAGAATCCAGTAACCATGGGAAAAGCAAAAGCGGAACATTTTTAGGAGGAGTACTGGAGCGAGCAGTTCCCCTGCTTCTCTGTTGCTCCTCTGAAGTCGTTGCTGTTGCCGGATCACACACAGTAGAGGTGACATAATTGTATGTATCAATTCTCTAAATTCTAATGTGGAGTTCGGAGAATTATTTTTTAGAATGTGGAGTTCAGAGAATTATAGTGTACCATCTGATCATTTCAGTAAAATTGTAAATGATGTAGTAGGCATCTGATTGAATTGTAGAAAATCTAATTTTGGGTAAATGAGGCATGGACAGTAAAGAAACTAACTATTCAGAGAATGTATGTTGCAGCACTGAACTATCTGACATTATCTGAAATGAAGGATACATAATGCTCAATTACTATAGACTAATGGCAATGTAGGCCAATTGTGAAATATTTACCAACAATAATAAGTTTGGGATGCAGGGAAGCCAAATAAGATCACACTGACATTCAGTTTGCACAGTCAAGTCACAGCTTGCATAGTGACAATCAGTTTTCAGAAGAATATATAGAAGCTACATGCTTCAGGTTCAGATAGAATATTCAGGCTCACAGCATGCTAACAACAACACCATGGTCACATGAAAATTACTGGAACAGAAGAAATAATACAGGCACAATGTAAATTAAGTTCAGCTCACAGCATTTTCAGAACTGCAACAGCATGCAGTTTTCTGAAAACCAAACGGAACTAAAGAGCATCCAAATAAACCACTTCAGTCCAAGTTAAAGTTGGATGCACCCCAGCTGCAGCTCAAACATACAATGCTACAAGTTTACAAACTTACATGCAACCTTTTGGACAGCAAGCTTGTACTGAGAAATATTCCCTTGATGTTAGTATTAGCATCATTTTTTTTTTTGCAAAAAGGTCCATTGCCTAAATTGTTCAGATGAGCATGTCAACTACCTAAAAACTCTCTAAACCTCTGAATGTTTTACTATGTAAAGTCTAAACTATCTAAATGTTGTAGAGATAGAGATGCAGCCAATTAGACATTTGGATATGTAAGATTCAAACTGGGTTCAAAACAAATGCAGTCAGGACGAAAATTCAGAGAAAAAACAAATTGACAGGCAGTAAGAGAATAGAAGAAACCCATCAGATTATGGCAGCCAAAAAATGTTTCATTTAGTCTATTCCATCCATCACGTTAAGCCTCAGCTTCTATAACATCTCCAGAAGAAAGCATGTACAAACAAAACACGGAGCAGTTCATATCCCTTCTTTTCGGTCGTCCTGACCAAGTTTCCCATGGCTAAGAACTACCATCGCTCATGTCCACCATTGGCTTCCTCCTCGGTGAGCTCAGATTTGGAAGTCAAAACTCGCTGCATATCATTCCGGCGGTGTCTCGTAGTCGATCTCCCCTTCGTCCACCGGTCCACTAGCGCTTGAATCCCCATGGTCTGAAGGTTCATCTGGCTGATGCCCAACGTTTGGTGCTGCTTCAGAGAAGAAATGGTAGTCAGACAATGGTGAGTGGGAGAGCACCAAACTATTTACACAGTTCTTATCACAACGACGTTAAGTTAATGTGATTGGAGGTTTGTCTTGTTACTTTGCTATGACTGCTCTTGTGTGTGAACTGGTTATGCAAAAATAATGCACAAGTACTTGCTAGGAAAACTATTAACCAGCCGAATCTAGTTTCTGACATCAATTGACACTGATAGTGATCGATACAAAATTGCCAAGAGAAAACCTGTAAAAGGTCGATGCAGCATATGTCATACAAGTCACTTTTTCCATAGGAAAAAAGAAATCCTCCATGTAAGAAAAGACTGATTATAAAGAATGAAGTTAGATGAACCCAGAAACTCTGCTGCAACGAGGTGAAAGAGTAATTTCATTTCAATACCAGTATGCAATAATGGAACATCCTATTTATGGGATAATCACTGTTTCAAGAAGCAATTCAAAATGCAATGTAACTGAGCTTGTAAATCCCTATGCAAACTATCTGTATTTGTAGGCTGCCCAGGCAAAACTTATTACTCTACACGTAACCCCCGTTGAAAAGTTTATGGAATAATCATAGCCTCCTAACATCAGTTCAAGCATTGGCACAATCAAGTTATTTGTATTGACAGAAATGTGATCTCAAACTGCATTCACAGAAAAAAAAAATGGACACCACTACTAGTCAACAGAGAACCACCACAGAAACATTAAATGGTTGATAAAGCACTCATGAGAACAAGATTGCACCTAATATGAAGTGCATGCTAGATATCTACCTTTGTTGAATGTGTAACTTCAACTAGTTCAGCTAATGTGCTATGTACAGGTTGATGGAATCCATTTTCAGTCAATAAGGATCAGAAACAGAGAAATGGAAATAACTTAGTTAGCAATTTTATCTGATTTTAGTAAGGATGCCAAAACTAGATTATGGTCATGTATCCAAATGAAATAAGCAAGACAAGTAGACAACTGCATTCTGCATCATCATGCAAACTCAAACAGATTCAAAAGTAAGGCATCATCATGCAAACTAATTCACAAACCATGTCACCATGAAACACAATTACATGAGATCTGTACTTCTCTTGGCCAACCTCCTATAAAACAGGGAATGCAGTACTAAGAAGTACAAGAAACTCAAAGGACACATGCATGATGATCATTAATATACTACATGCAGAAAAATTGATCAGGCAATTAGATCTGTACATTGACATTTGGAGCATGTAACTGCAGAACACAAGCAAGCAGCAGATAAACATCTAATCCAGCAGCAGGAATCACTTGCATGCATGATATCTGAATAGCGGCAACAGAACTGGATGAAACAAGCAAACACAATCAAACGTGGTTCCAAGTTGTCTTACCTCCATCCGCATCCAGGTTCCAAGTGATGAGGTAGCGACTTGTGACCGGCTCGTCGTCCGGCCCTGGCCTGTTCAGCGGATCATATTGCTCACAGTCCACCACCGTGTGCTCGGGCACGTTGACGCCGAACAATCGCTGGTTCAGGGAGAAGTAGACCACATTGGAGTTCACCGGGGAGACGCCCACGAGCATGGGAGGGTTCGGCGGCAGCCCGGTCAGGTCGTAGCTTTCGTGGTCCCAGATGTCCTCGAAGCTTTCCGTATAGTTCATTACCCATCGCCATGGATTGTCCTCCATGTCTCGATACCACATGTTCACCGTCGCCGCTCCGTGGCCGTGGGGGCTGAGGATGATCTCCACGTACCGCACCAAGTTCTCGCTTACAGCGATGCAGCGCCTGCAGTGGATGTCCGGCAGGGCTCCGGCTCCGGCTCGGAGGACACGACCAGGCGGGAGGCGGTGGAAGTTCAGCACCTGCAGCAGGTCCGGTTGGGCGAGGTCGCAGCTGATGATCCCCCACGAGAGGTCGAACCAGAAGACCGTGCTGTTGATGGTGACTGTGCCGTGGGGTACCCAATCCCGGTGGCGGTCCCACGCTAATAAGGGGTTAACATACATGTTCCCATACCAGACGCCGGTGGTGTAAAGGACGACGACGGCTTGTGGAGCACCCGTGGTAACAATGAACTCGGCAATCTGGAAGTGACCTGTTTCTTGGTTGCAGACGAGGCCGACGCTCTCGATGTTGCTTAGGGCGGGCAGGTTGAAGAAGTCGTCGAAGGGGCGCTCGGGTATGTGCACGGCGCACGCATCGATCTCGGCACCGTCGTCGTCCCTGAGGAAGTGGCGCACCACGACGAGGTGGCTGTGGTCGGGTTCCTGGTCGAAGTTGGTGCCGTAGGAGGGCGCGATGGCGAAGTGGACGAGGAGGCAGAAGCGCCCGGTGGCAATGATGTAGGGGTACATGTCGGGTCTCGCCGGGTCGGGGTGGGAATGGAGGCGCGCGAAGAGGGAGGAGACCCACGGCGGCCGCGCGATCGTGATGGTGAAGTCGGGGGCGAACGCGTCCATCGCCGCGTGCGCCAACACCGACGCCACTTCGTCCGTGTTCACGTTCACGACGCTCTCCTCCAGCTGTATCTGCGCCTCTATCGCCGCGTCCTCCTCGGCTTCTGCGACCGCGGCGTGCTGCGCCTGCGCCGCCGCGTCCTCGGCCGCGACGTCGTGCTCCTCGGCTTCCTCGACCCCCGCGTGCTGCTCCTCGGCTTCGGCATCCACGGCGTGCTCCTCCGCGTCCGCGTGCAAGCCGGGCGGGACGACGTCGAGTACGCGGCGTAGGATCAGCCAAGGCCTCTCCATCGGCGCTCGCTGGTGCGCTTGGCTTCCCGCAGCGAGGGAGAGGGAGACCACGCTGGGTAGTTGAGGCGAGAGGGTGGCGGTGGGGTTTGGGGTGATTTGGTGGTGGCCTTGCGATTCGGTGGAAAATGGGATGGCAGGATGGTAATTTATACAAGATAACGGTTACGTGCTCGGCCTTATTCACGAACATTCCGTTCATTCCCAGGGCCATGATGGGCCTTTGCAGGCCTAACCGCCTAACCCAAGTGAGCTCCAATCAATACATTACCTATCAACGTAGAAATATTTCACAAGAATATATGAGTGTAATCCTCAGTTCACCAATAATTATAGGAATAGGAGGAAGCAATAGTTTGGTACCCGTAAATGGAATTTGCTTTGCGACAAAAGAAATGATAATTATTAGGACCTTACTACAGCCCGCACACAGCCGGAAACTCCGCCTGCACACCTCCTTCCTCGCGCGCCTTCTCTTCTTTCTCCTACGCTCCCCATCGCCTCCTCACCATGCCCGGCTCCGGCAACGTCCACATCGGCTCCGCCCTCGATCATGGCCAACCCTAACCCGAGCCCTCTGCTTCAGATTCGGTGCGAGCGTCCCCGTCTCGACCCCCTCCCTTGCTCCAGCGATGCCCTCCACCTCCTCCGTCACCCTCCACCGCTGCCACGCTAATTTTAAACTCTTCTTCTTCTCCGGTTGTCACCCTCTCCGTCGGCACCGTCCAAACGGCCTCTCCCACCACCCGGCGGGCGGCGCCCCCGCCTCCGTCTTGACCACCGTCGCCGCTGGTCCAACGTCCTCCATGGAAGCTCCCTTCTAAGCTGAAGAGCATGGAAACCCCAAAACCCTGAACCCTAACACCGCGGCCTGCTTCATCTCCGGCGGTGGCGGCAGCCGACAGGTGAGTTCGCATGCAATTTTTTTTGTCTTCTATTGCGTGCATAGCGAAGCCTCTCGGCACGTGTGTGCAGTAAGAAGCATTTAGGTTATTATTATTATTATTATTATTATTATTATTATTATTATTATTATTATGTGTGTTGTATTTAACGGATAAATAGTGTCGCGCCACATAGCTTTTGGCGTTAACATGTCCTCGCTGCAAATGTTTTTGGAATGGAAACGTGAGAGATGGAAAGATGAGTGCCTTCCAAAACTCATCAAAAGTTGCAGTGGAAAAAACCCGTCGATCTATAAAATCCGACAGTCCGCCCTGAAAATAACACAAAGCAAACTAATTACATCGAATTTGAAAGAATGTGTGTGGAGGCCAGTACATATATACAAAACAAGTATATAATTTTCAGAAGAATGTGTCAGTGTGTGTGCACCATCACAAACTTGTGGTTTATGGATTTATTCGTTTTGCTAAAATTTAGTTTATGCTAATTTATTGTGAGAATAAAATACTGTTCATTCACTAAAAATTACTCCTCAAGTAGTTCACGCGAAAAGGGCCACCGACCAATTTGTACAGCGAATTAACTAACTTATCCAACAAGCTTCAGTAATCACGATGACGTCTTATACTCCAGTAGTCCACTGTGGGCTGGTGGCTCACTTTTCCCCAACCCCAAGGGCTCCGTCCGGGACGCCGACAGCTAGCAGGGTCTCGTAGGCCTCCATCGCCGGTAGGCTGCCGATGACCGTGCCGGCGGCCGGAGTCGACGATCGTGGCGGTGGCCGGCCTAGCGACATGACCGATGGGGATTTACGTTGAGCGCGGTTGCCCATACACGCTGACGTCAGTCGGCCAGTGAGCGTTCAGCTGAGCTGGATTAAAGCTGGCCAGTCATTTTTGACTAATTTAATGTGAGAGAAAAATATTGTTTCGACTGAACATAAACAGTGTTTCGAGGAGGAGCCAGCCGGCTCCAGCCAGCCGAACGAAGCTACTCGTCGTCGGCGTCACAGGGAGGACGCAGGACGGAGACGAAGGAATATTATTATTTGTTCCTGCATGCATGCCGCGGTGCCGCACGGGATCATGCACGCCAGTCTGCCACATAGTACAGCAGAAGATTCTCTCCACTATCCTCGTGGTTGTGTAGGAGTGGCTCCGTTACATTTGTGACGTCATTGGTGGTAACGAACGAGCGAGTTCAACGGAAAAAGGAATATCAGCAGCATTGCCAGCATCAGGTAGGAGAACTCAAGGCTCGTGCTTGCTCTAAAATGTGATTTTTACTAAATATGAGCGACTAATTTGTGTTTTGAACTGTTCATATCTAGGGTGCTAGGTTTGAGGAATGAGTTGGTCTATTAGCTTTTTACTTCTCTCTTTTTTTTGTTTGGTTTATAAAATGATAATGCATTAATTCATCATCACCTTATTCCTCACAAGCTAACAATTAATATTAGTACGAGAAATGGAGTCGTTCCGTCGAAATTGAGGAATGAACTCTTCCAGTTTACCAATAGGAAAAATAGAAATATACAACTAGGACGGTTATTCTGCCAAAGGGTGCCTAGCTCAATCGGTTAGGTCTCCCGGTGGCACTCCTCAGGTCCTGAGTTCAACTCCCCGTGGGAGCGAATTTCAGGCTAAGGTTAAAAAAAATCCCCTCGCCCGTCACATGTGCCAAAGCGCAGTAATGGTCCGGCCCGGAGTCTGGTCCGGCCTGTGGATCCGTGTGTGTGCGCCTTGAGTGCCGCACGGCCCAGGTCCTGCAGACGTCTTCTCACTGGCCAAGGATACCGCTGCGTCAGGATGTGGACGAGGGTTCGGGGGTTTTCTCGATCTGTGTGAGAAGATCTTCTTCTTAGTAAGAAAATCCGGGGGCTGTCATAACCCTCCGCAGGTCTAGTTTTTTATTCGAGTGCATTCTTATGAAAAACAAACCAAAAAAAGAGAAAATTTAAAAAATGCTCCCAGTTTGTGACTACTGACTTGCTGCTGCTCTCATCTAGTATGTATCTGCGTGGTTCTACACTCCGTACTGGAGCATCATCGTGCTCCTGTCCTCTCGTTTGCTGTACCAATAGGTATCGTGTTCCAAATTACTGTTCATTTTTCCTTTAAATCAAATTAAACTTTTCTAATTGGTAGAAAAATGCATAAAAAACTATAATATCAAATTATTTTACTTAATTTATCTACTATTTTCGTCCTAAATTGTAAGTCATTCTAAGTAGGTTTATAGCTTCATTATGCATATACGGCATATCTAGGAGCATAGCAAAAGCTATGCATCAAGAAAAGCTAGAACGACTTACAATTTCGAATGGAGAAAGTATAAAATATGTCTTGGTGTGATGCATTCATTTGAACTATGGATGCTAATATATTCCTCTAAAGACTTGCTCAAAGTTAGGAATGAAGTTTAATTTAGGACAAACTAAAGCTAATTATAATTTGGAATTGAGGATGTAAGGGTTCATGCCTAACTATGTCATGCGTGAAGTTATTTTTGTTTCATGAAGATCATTCTGCATAATTTTTCAAACATCATATAAAAAAAGTTTCTCGTATTTACAAAAGAACACCCTGCTTCATTGCGCAGATCATGAAGGTGCCCAAACTTATGTCCTGTTGAATGATTTGACAAAGGCCCAGGTACTTAGGGATCATGGAATGGGATTTCGATCATATTTTAATCTTATTTAGATGTACTCATATCCACTCAATTTACGTGTATTAAAGTGGATTGTGATAGAATTTAGTTTAATTTCCACTCTAATTTACTTCAACACGTATAAATTAAGGTCAATGCGATTGCATGCAAACATGACCTTTCTCGTCAAACATATGCACACAGGTTCGGGTACTCATCACCAAGGCACCAATGCACGAGAAGGCAGCAGTGCTTGTGCTGTGGAATTGGTAGTACTGTAGTATGAACGGGTTTTATTTCCAGGCCGAACGGGCAAATCAATGAAGGCCCACGACATGCAAGCTGGACTGCGAGAAACGAGCTACTATATCAAACAGCCCAGGTGGCCCAACCAATAGGTCGTGCACGGGTCAACGACGAGTACGGGACACAGCACTGCCTACCGGCCGGTCAACATTTATGTGAAATTTTTTTAAATCAAGCCAACATTTGAAAATACTAGGTTTGACAACTCTTCTAACTTCAATATTTCGCAAAAACTAGTCCACCTTTTATATAAAAATAGAATATTAAAAAAAGTTGAAGTAGTACATTATCAAAATGTTGAAATATGCATGTTTGAAATGTTGATTTTTAAAACTAATAAAATAAAGAAATACATTGATCTCATTTTCATAAATTTATTCTAAAGCACATGGTCGCTCAAACTGATTTCAAAATAGACCTACTGCTTGGGAAAAACAATGTATTTGAAGTTTAAAATGTAAACTTGGAAATTGTATCTCGTGTCATCCGTATGGCTGGTTGGTTTGCTTCCCCATGTCATCTCGCCTGTCCATCCTATATTGCAGCAATATTGATCAAATGTTGTAAATTGCAGAAGCCATATCTAATGGAAAATGCATAAGAATTCCTCTCTCAAATTCGACATAATCAACAGGTGCCTTTGTATACATATGAGCCCAAAACGTGAGCGTGAGCACAAGACGCTGCCGAAACCACAAGGAAAAAGTCCAATTCACCTTTTCCAACTTTTTTTAAAGTCAATTTGACTCCTCTAATATCAAAACTAGTTTTAATTTTTGGCCTCCATCGTCTTTGACACTGTCAGATTTTAGTCCTCGACGATTTTGCTCGATACTGGCCGACGTGGCACCACACCAACCTCAAGGGAGGTAAATGAAACTACATTGGTAGTTCAAGGGGCCAAATAGGTTTTATTGAAAAATATAGGACTATTTATTAAAAAATCCAAATGTTTTTCAAGGAAAAAACTAAACAATGAAAAATGGTAAAATTTGATTTAATCTTACAAAATTCATAGGAAGTTGGTTTAGCTTGAAAAAATGTGAACTAGTTTAGAATTTTTGCTAAAATCGTGATCCATCTTATTAGTACATAGATTGAAATTATTTAAATCTTATATGATCTTTTTTGGTGTTTAT